AATGTAGTTTTGGTTTTCGTTTTGTCTCCATTTGTTATGCCTGATGCCAGGTCTAAATTGCTCCCCATAAGGAGACTGGATGCCCTTTCGCGTTCCTGACAGATTCCTGTAAGTACTCAAGGGCCCAGCCTGGGCAACATGACGAGACCACATCTCTACAATAAATCAAAAAATTAGCTGGGCATGGTGGCACATGCCTGTAGTTCTAGCTACTTGGAAACCTGAGGTAGAAGGATCGTTTGAGCCCAGCCGGTTGAGGCTGCGGTGCCTGTGAGTGTGTCACTGCACTCCAGCCTGGCTGACGGAGTGAGACTCCAACTCAAAAAAAACCAAAAAACAAACAAACAAAAACTCAAGGGCCTTTTTATCTGTGATTCTCTAAGACAGATAATAAAAATGAGTTGTCCTGTATAGTCAAGCGTTCTGCCAGTTCCAGCCAGCTGATATTTGTGTTAAAAATACTTCATGCAGGTCATGCCTTGGTCTTACCAGTACTAGCATGTTCTGTCTGGAGTAAGGAGAAAAATTATCTGCTGGGGCTCTGAGAAATGGTTAACTTGGGAGTTTGGAAAGGTACTTGACTCATTCTTACTCTTATTTTCATTCTCCATCTCTATAATAAGGAAAAGAGTAGTAATTAAAGTAATTAAGATCCACTCTCTCCTCTTCCGTGAAAGAATGCAAAATAACGGGCAGTGGACTTTCCTGCAGTTTTTAGGATGCAAAGCAATTAGGCCTGGCTCAGTGGCTCACATGTATAAGTTCCAGCACTTCGGGAGCCTGAGGCAGAAGGATCACTTGAGCCCTGGGAGTTCTTTCAAGGCCAGCCTGGGCAATGTAGCCAGACCTCCTCTCTACAGAAAATAAATAAATTAGCCAGGTATGGCACAGGCCTGTCATCCCAGCTACTGGAGGCTAAGGCAGAAGGATCTCCTGAGCCCAGGAGGTTGAGAATGTAGGGAACTGTAGTTGTGTCACTGCATTCTAGCCTGGGTGACGAAGTGAGGTGCTTGACACACAAAAATAAATAAAAGAAGAAGAAAAAACAAATGAGAAATTGGGTCATTTAAGATTATTTGCAACTTTTGCTAGGCAAGAAAAAAATAGACCTTGTTATTCTCAGAAATTACAGCTGGTTTGATCTTTGTATTACTATATTTAAGCGAAATGTTTCATCAGAATTCAAGATAATTTCAGAAACAGAGGAGGTATATGTCATCAAGAGGGAATTGCAGAGATGATTGGATGCGTTAAGGGAATGAATGTTCCAGGTAATCTGAACTCTAGAAATTTAAAAATACACATAAACGCACTTGAATTTTTAGCAGTACAACGTGCACACACCCTTTCAGTAGCAAATCTGAAAGTACATACAGAATTGTTTATGTGCTCATTTTTCTGTGGTATATGGTCTTAATCAGAGTCTTTTTTTTTTTTTTGAATTGGAGTCTCACTCGGTCGCCCAGACTGGAGTGCAGTGGCTGCTCCCGGCCACCGCAGCCTCGCCTGCTGGGCTCCAGCGATCCTTCCACCTCAGCCTTCCGAGTAGCTGGAACTACAGGCGCGCGCTACCACGTCTTGCTAATTTTTTGATTCATTGTAGAGATGAGGTCTCCCCAAGTTGCCCAGGCGGGTCACAAACCTGCGGGCTCAGGCAATCCACTCACCTCGGCCTCCCAAAGTGCGGGATTACAGGCTGAGCCACCGAGCCCGGCCTAATCAGTCTTAAAGTTGTTGTATGTCCTCTAGAAGATTAAGATCCATTAAGGAACTAGCCTGATTTTTAGCTTCCTGAAGGCTGTTCATTTCAGATTACCCTTGGCCAATCTTTTGCTTTCAAAAGATTTTTCCCACTTCATTTTCTGGTGTTTAAAAGAAAAAGATGTAGATTTCTAGGAGAAGTTTTCTCTGCATGTGAGGAGTTGGGATCATCTTGGATCTTGAACCCTCAAGTATCTCTTGGTTACTGTGGTGTGGAGATACCTTAAGAAAACCTTCAGCAATAGTGATGTAGTTGACACTGAGCAGGATGATAGGGCTGTTGGGAAGGAATCTCAAACATGCAATTCCTGGAGACAAGTAGGGACTTTCAGACAGATCACAGGCATGGAGGCAGCACTGTTGAACTCCGGTCGTTTGTGCTGGACCCATGTGCTTGTGCTTCCTCAGCTCTGATGGGAGTAAGAAAGGTCTCCCCAGCCCGGCATAGCCTGTCTTCCGCAGCATCCTTCAGTGAATCCGCCTTTCTGGTGGAATGATTTCAGTGTCAAAGCTTCAGTGTTTTATTGTATTGCAGGAAAAACAGGGCCTTCTTCTTTGTGGAATTTGATGTGCATTAGAGATTCTCGAAGGCGCCTGGTAGCTAAAGAGATTTATTACCAAGGGGAGAGTGTCTTCATCCTGCTTCTGGCTACTGGATATACTATGATGGTTATTTTTTTTGATCCTTTTTAAATTTGTAAACTATATTATTGATTGATTGATTTGGAGTCTCACTCTATTGCCCAGGCTGGAGTGCAGTGGCACGCTCACGGCCGCCGCAGCCTCAACCCTGCTGGGTTCAGTCTATCCTTCCACCTCAGCCTTCCAAGTAGCTGGAACTACAGGCATGCGCCACCATGCCCAACTAATTTTTTTTGTTTTAATTGTAGAGATGAGATCTTGCCAAGTTGCCCGGGCTGATCTCGAACTCATGAGCTCAGGCAGTCCACTCACCTCGGCCTCCCAAAGTGCTGGAATTATAGGCGTGAGCCACCACGCCCGGCCAATATATATTTTTTATTTTCAAAGTCCCGGTAACCACGCCATGTACTTTTTACTGCCAGTTTGAACTATTCTTTATCCAACTCCTCACTCCTGAAGGGGCAGTAGAGAGAGCAAGCCAGGCCAAACCTTGTGAGGGTCAGGCAGGTATGAATAGGCCAGCATTCGTGGTTTGAATGGGAATGCTACCATCAAATCAAATTCATGAGAGCTTGGATATTTAGAACTCTTCTGAGTCAGGGATTTCACTCTGTTGCCCAAGCTGGAGTGCAGTGGCACAATCTTGGCTCGATGCAGCCTTGACCTCCTGGGCTCAGGCTATTCTCTCGCCCCAGCCTGTCGAGTAGTTGGGAAACAGGCATGTGCTTCCATGCTTAGCTTTTTTTTTTTTTAAAGAGATGAAGTCTCACTATATCATCAGGCTGGTTTTGAACTCCTGGACTCGTCATCCTCTTGCTTTGGCCTCCCAAAGTGCTGGTATTACAGGCGTGAGCCACTGTCCCTGCCTGATATTTAAAAGTGTTAGGATAGCTGGACTCGGTGGCTCAGCCTGTAATCCCATGCCTTTGGGAGGCTGAGGTGAGTGGATGGCCTGAGCCCGCGGGTTCGATACCTCATCTCTACAATAAAAATCAAAAAATTAGCCGGGCGTGGTAGTGCATGCCTGTAGTTACAGCTACTTGGAAGGCTGAGGCGGAAGGATCGCCGGAGCCCAGCAGGTCGAGCAGCCACTGCATTCCAGTCTGGGTGACAGAGTGAGACTCCAACTCAAAAAATAAAAATAAAAATAAAACTGTTAGGGTATACTTCCGCAATAGTTGGGGATAGAAATTTCTTCTGTCTGAAAATACAAGCTGTTGAATTTTTGTTAGCCTTTGTCTCCTTAATTTTTTCCATGAATTCAATTTTTCTACAAATATAACTGCCATATTAACATGATACATGCCTAAATTTAAAATGATAATGACAACTCTGTTAGATACTCTTTGCTTATTAGTAAGGAAAGAAATTTCACATCAAGCATGAGGTCATTAGATTCCTTAACAGTTGAGCTGTACAATAACTATCTCACAAATAGCATTTCTTATATGCAAGGCACATTTAGGTACTAGTCAAAATGCAGTTATAGCTGATGGTGATGATGAGGTGGGAGGATTTTTGAGCCAAGTAGTTTGAGTCCATTCTAGGTAACATAGTGAGCATCCATCTCTAAACAAACAAAAATTTTAATATATTCATAGAATTGCCATCAAGCTGTCTTAATTGTAAAACTCTCATTAAAATCTAGAATACAATATGTCCTAAAGTTTTTTGGTTTGTTTTCTTTAGTCAGAGTGTCACTCTGTAGCCCAGGCTGGAGGGCAGTGGCACGCTCACGGGCACCGCAGCCTCGACCTGCTGGGCTTAGGTGATCGTTCCACCTCAGCCTTCTAAGTAGCTGGAACCACAGGCATGCGCCATCAGGCCTGGCTAATTATTTTATTTATTGTAGAGATGAGGTCTTGCCAAGTTGCCCAGGCTGGTCTTGAACCCTTGGGCTCAGGCGAGCCTCTCGCCTCGGCCTCCCAAAGTGCTGGGATTACAGGCTAAGCCACTGCACCTGGCTGTACTGAGTCACTTGAACTGAATGAGCAGAAAGTGGATCTGTTGCCTCAGCTTCATAATCTGTACCTTTATTTTATTTTTTTTTTTGAGTTGGATTCTTACTCTGTCACCCAGGCTGGAGTGCAGTGGCATGCATGCTCATGGCCACCGTGGCCTCATTCTGCTGGGCTCAGGTGATCCTACCACCTCAGCCTTCCAAGTAACTGGCATTACAGGTGTGTACCACCACGCCCAGCTAAGTTGTCGATTTATTGTAGAGATGAGGCTGATCTAAAACTTGTGGTCTCAGGCAGTCCTCTCACCTCAGCCTCCCAAAGTGCCAGGATAGCCACCGTGCCTGGCTTGTACCTTCCAGTAGTAAAACCTTTACCCATTTTGTCCAGAATGTGCTGTTTGGGCTTGAAAGAAAGACAATGAAAGCCCTCTTAATATGTTTCTCTTATTTGACATTTGACAAAATTACAGCATCTTGGGTGCATAGGCTCATACGTGAAGCCTCTCGAGGGCTTCCCGCATTTCATGTCTGCTTCCTGTTTAAAACACATCCGCTGCGGAACCATCCTGTCTCCTCCTTTCCCAGCCATCGTGTACCTTATGTTAACGTGTTTTTGTGTTTGGGGCCTCCTGGGTAGGCCTCAGACATTCCACAGCTACCTGGAAGACATCATCAACTACCGCTGGGAGCTCGAAGAAGGGAAGCCCAACCCGCTGAGAGAAGCCAGCTTCCAGGACCTGCCTCTTCGAACGCGCGTGGAGATCCTTCACCGCCTCTGTGACTATCGCCTCGACGCAGACGATGTCTTCGATCTGCTCAAGGTGCTTCCCTGGGAGCGCGTTCCTTAGAGCGGGAGGACGCTGGGACTGAGAACTGTAGTCAGCCCGGAGAGTCCGCAAATGCTATGAGAAGCCACAGTTTGGCTTGTGGTCCTAGGCTTGACATTAACACTGTTTAGAAACCTGTGAGTACTCAGCCTGGGAAACTCGAGGCATCCCTCTGCCTGGAAGGGTGTTGGGGGATTGAAGTCTAACCTGACTCTGTCTCCCTTCACCGCACCGAGTCCCAGCTGCGGTAGGAACAACCAGAGGCACCCGCGCGTTCTGTCTTCCGCCCAGACGGCGTCTAAAGTCACTGCTGCATTTTATTTCCCGGGGTCTAAATTTGATTGAGCACCCTTGAAATATCTGCTGACGACTCTGAGGACTGGAAAGCGTGAATGCTAGTGGGTTCGGCCCTCGAATCGCACACCTAGACATTACCCAGATGTGTGTGGGAGAAGGAAGCTGTGGCTGTCCCTTCCCTGCCCTCACCCTGTTTTCAAAACATCTCTCCGCACGACGGCTTGGGTTATTGCTTTCACTCGTAGGGAGGTTGGTTTCTAATCCAGTTCGATCATAAATGATTCAACGTGTTGATGACATCTCGGTTCAGCCCCGCGCATGGGCACGTTGGGAAAATCACGGTGTAATTTAGCAGAGTCTTTGCTGAGGGCACGAGGACTTCAGTAGCAAGGGGAAGGCCAGTACAGGTCAAACCCTGGGGGACATGGGGGGCTGGGTTGCCGGGCCTCGGCTGGAAGAGGAGGTTGCCGTAGGTCATGGCTGAGCTGCAGTAGGGGGCCACGTGGGATAGCGTTCCCGATATCCATTCCAGCTCTGTTGTAATGGCCTTTGCTTTCATGCACACACACACATTCAGTGGTTACTCCAGAGAGGCTAAATGGTCATAGGGTCCCTTTTGGCTTCTATTCTTTTTTCTCTTCTCTTCTTTCTCTTCTCTTGGAAGAGGGAGCAATGACAATATTTCCATATATTGTTCTTGAAAGTTTCCACCTTCCCTTGTTCTTTTTTTTTTTTTTTTTAATTGGGGTCTCAGTGTGTTGCCCAGGCTGAAGTGCAGTGGTATGCTCATAGCCACAACAGCCTCAAACCTGCTGGGCTCAGGTGATCCTTTTGTCTCAGCCTTCCAAGTAGCTGGAAGTACAGGCATACCTCACCACACTCCGGGTAATTTCTAAAATTTATTGGCCGGGTGCGGTGGCTCAACCTGTCATCCTGCGCCTTTGGGAGGCTGAGGGGAGTGGATTGCCTGAGCCCGTGGGTTCGAGACCCGCCTGGGCAGCCAGACCTCCTCTCTACCATAAATCAAAAATCAGCCGGGCGTGGTAGTGTGCGCCTGTACTTCCAGCTACTTGGAAGGATCGCCGGAGCCCAGCAGGTCGAAGCTGCGGTGGCCGGGAGCGGCCACTGCACTCCAGTCTGGGCGACAGAGTAAGACTCCAACTCTAAATAAATAAATAAATAAATAAATAAAATTTATTGTAGAGATGAGGTCTTGCCAAATTGACCAAGGTTGGTCTCAAACCCCTGGGCTCAGGCACTCCTCTCACTTCAGCCTCCCAGAGTACGAGCCACTGTGTCCAGCCACCATCCGTTTTTTCTTTCTTTTTTTTTTTTTTTTTGT